AAAAAATAGTCTAAAATGTCATGTCATGCCAAAAGAAATCGCATGTAGCTCTTAACCATTTGTAATTTAATAAAAATATATAAAAAATCGGTATTTTATATCTACACACTATTGGGCTCATCATAGGCCAAAAATGGATCCAAATCCCAGTCATGGGTGTAAACGAGATGAGACAACTCATGAGAAACTCGAGCCCGACTCAGAAAATACTCGAAATCGACTCGACTTTAATCGAGTCAAGCTCGAGCTCGAGCTACTCGAGTACATTATCGAGTCGAACTCAAGTAGTAAAATACTCAGCTAATAAGGTCGCGAGCTTAATCGAGTATTTATAATATTACTTTTATTACCCTTTATGTATTTTTAAATTAGTAAAACATTTCAATACTTTTAGCTTTTAGGCTTCGGTTAAGGAGTGAGGACTTAAGTTGCATTTCAAAACTTTTGAGAATGTTACTTTTTGGTGTTGTGGATGTATGTAAAATACAATGAAATAGATGATTGATGGTATATTAACATTAGATGATTTATTTTGATTTTTTTGTTAATTTGAACAATGTAAAAGCACGTTGAATGTTTTTAATTTTTAATGTTTTTAACTTTTTTTAATTTTTTTTAATTTTAGTCGAGTTGAATCGAGGTCGCGAGCCGAGCTCGATAGTATCAAGTATTTCACGAGTCGAGTATGAGCTTCAAATTTAAGCTCGAGGTGAGTTCGAGTCGAGCTTCGAGCTCGAGAATTTTAGGCGAGTCAAGTTTCGAGCTTGGCAATACTGGGCTCGACTCGACTCGTTTACACCACTAATCGCAGTGCACAAAGACAAAATCGCAGGTGAGGATAACCACCTTCGATTTGTCTGGTTACTTTTGGATAATGAGTATTTTTTTGGTTATTTTTTATAAAATAATTAAGAAAAATTGCTATTTTGTAAATTCATGGATATAACAAAATATGAAATGTGAGTATTGAGGTGCTCTAACTTATTTAGTAAATTTGTGGATATAACAAAATATGAAATGCGAGTATACGAGATTTTCTAGCTTTTATAAATTAATAATAATAAATAAATAAATAAATAAACTCATTTTTTACGTAGTTTCTGCTAAAGCCATTGTTTAATCTTTAATGTTCATATATGGTCCGTAAACTTTTATCAATAAAAAAAAATAAAAAAAAAATAAAAAAAAAGCTCTTTTTTACGATGACGGTCATTTCCACAATTACAATTATGTTTTTGAACTTGTAAAATTTATGAAAAAAGGTATTAATTCTGAAATGTAGGCTGTGTATAAGAAAAACAACCAATTGGGTGCTAAAGCAAGGTGCCGAGAATATTATTAATCATAAAAAATAAAATAAATATATAAAAAAGAAAAGTTGCTTAAGAGTAATACGATCCAAGTCTGCAAAAGCCAGCAATTTTGTGGCAAAAAGATCTTTACTTTGAGCCTTTGCTTTGCTTTAGAACCTATAACATGATACTTGCAAGTTACATCTCCAACTCGTAAATAATTATAAAAAAAAGATAATCATAACCAGGATTCATTCCCCCAAATGATTGGGTTTCTTAAAATGATTTAATTATGATAAATATGAATCTTCATCATCGGGATTTCTTGATTAATCATGAGATGTGTTTAGTAGGATTGGGTTTCAATTTAAACTTATATTGTGATGCGTAGTGACATGTTAGCTAACATGAAAGAATGTTTTTTTTGTCAAGTATATTACTAAGGTGGAGTGGTCTTTAAGTTTATAAAAGAACTTCTAAGTTTTGGTGAGTGAGTATCCGATGATGGTGACTTATGGTGGCCGGCCGGTGGGTATCGTCAATCTTGCGATGGTTAGAAATTACTAAATTATAAAATTGGTCCTTGTGGTTGATATATTTTACAGTTTTAGTCCTAGTTTCTCATTTTTGTTGAAAATGTCCTTATTGTTGGTTTGGGTATCATATTCAGTCCTTCCCTTTGTTACCATTTTGGAAGGCTCCGTTAATGCTCATCATGTGCCCCTCACATGAGGCCATTTCAGTCATTTCAATGCCATCAAATATAAAGACTTGAGATCAGACAACTTTCTCTCACACTCACTCGTTTCTACTTTGTTCTTTGGAAATTTTGAATGGTCTTGTCTTCTTTCCCAGCTAAGCAATGGTGATATATTCTTATGGAAGCAAAGCCTTCATCACAATGTCATAACCTTAACCATGGAAGACGGTTTTGGTGTTGTGCAAGGGTTGGAACCAATTGTGGTTAATTGAGTAGACACAAATGAATCATAAAGTTGACATTGAAAAAATACATATTATAATTGAAACAATTAGAAATCAAATACAAAAAATATCATGGTTAATCATTTAACATTTAACAAAAGTGGTGCATTACATTTTGTCATGGTTGATACAACCAATTAACACCAAAAGTTCACATATGTTGTTTCATAGTTACATACCTAAAAGAAAACAACATGCCAATTATCAAATTATTGTACCAAAATACTAACTTAGACCACTTTTACAAAACACTACCTTAAACCAACATACAAAAATAAACAAAATATTTTCACCAAAACTAAATACCAAACGAATCAGACACCAAAGCTATTACTTTCTTGCTACTACCTTATTGTTATTGATCCTCCAACTCCAACATTTTGCCCACCTTGACCTTTACAAGTCCTGAAATTGTGGCCACTGTTTTTGTACTTGTTGCATGTCACACTAATATACTTTCTTGAAAAGTTTCTTTATTTCCTTGACGGAACCTCCTTCTCATCTTCTTAGGCATACCAACCTTCCATATATGGAAATTATTATGTTAATAAAAAAAATCTGGAATTAAATGATCATAAAAATATGGGACATATTGTATTACATGTGTATGGTGCTTGGGAGCAGTTAAAGTAGTTAAATCGTTTGAGTTGGGAGAAGTTAAATCATAATGTAACACGTTTCCACTATGATTCTCCTTACCATAGGCTGCATATTCAGTTTCAAAGTTCATTTCGTAGTCCTATCTAAGGTTTCCCTCATAATGTAATCTATTATCTCCTAAATCAAATAAAGGATCATAAAAAATCACTTCATCTCAATCAAACATAAAGAAGGGATTATGGTTTTCTCATGTGTCAAAACAAGGGCATAACATGATTATTGTTGCAATCCTTTCTCACCACTACCTACTTCTTCCACACTAAGGACATTTACAAGTATGTATTTCTTTTACAAGTATGTATTGTGGCAAACCCTAATCACTTATTACCTCCTCGCCCAATACATAGCCATGTATAAGTACTATAAACCTCTTATTATATAGTACTACAACTAAGTATTGTTAGTACTTAGTAGGTATATCAACATTTATCACTTGAGAAGTGCCATGTTAAGATCAAAGTCTAGCTTCTTACCAGTTTCTCCAGTTATTCTTTGCTCTGTTCCTAATGTATTTAGGTGAGTGGTCTTCCTTAACTTCACGTAGTACAACTTTAAAAAGGACATAAAGTACGTTTGTAGCTTAGTTTTCCTATATTTTATATAAACCTTAATCCTTTTGAAATATTTTACGCCCATAAACATATTCATCACATGTTGGCCATTACCAAGTGGTAATAGAACATAGTCCAAAGAGACCTTAGGGATAAGAAAATTGTAATGTACATGTATTTGTTTAACATACCCTATCTCATGCATCATCACACTGAGCTCATGGACTGAAAACTCATTAATGTCTACATGGTCAACGTACGCCTCTTTACCCCTATGGTATTTTCTTCCTAGAAATTTTGAAAAATGTCCACTATAACTGATTTGCATTACAAACAAATTTTCAAACCCCTCTGAAAAAAAAAGCGAAGATATTTATTACTATTATAATCTGCTACCTACAATACTTGATCGGAAGTAAAGCACAATTACTTTAAGCTTCCTTTACATCACATGTTGAGCTTAAAACTCATAGGTTCCATATGATTGGTTGTATCATCGTATTTATGTATCTGTAAATCCTCTTCCTTGCAAGACAATGAGGAATTAAAGGTATTGTAAGTGAATGGTTTTCTTGGGCTATGGTAGCTATAGTACCATATGGATGGTTTATGAAGTACATATGTATAATTACTCTTTTTATCGAGGAAACACATTTCAATGAGAGATGAGAGATATGAAATGATCAAAATGCCCCTCGTGTAACAGACACAAGATGAGCATTGACAAAGTCTTCTAAATGGTACATCAAGGAGGGACTGGATGTGTTGTACAAACCTACAATAGAGACCTTTATTTAACAAAAACAAAAAACTAGGATTCAAACAGAAAAATCATGCCAAAACATAGGCACCATTTATGTAATTTACTCTAGATATTATAAAAGGAGAGGTGGAATGCTATTTTTTTGTTCTTTTTTTTTCATGTTCTATTGATCTCTCTTCTCTCTATCTTTCTAGCTCTTTCTTTATTTTATAAATTTTAATATCTTTTTGATAAAAACTAATAATTGATTATTTTTCATATTTATAATATTTGTTCCAAGTATGTTCCCGAAAATAATTTAAGCTTTCCTATGTGATCCTTCATGATGAAATGTTGTATCTTTCGATGATGGAAATGGCTATCATTTCCAAGGGTATATTTCTCATATATTGATTCAATTTCCTTCGTTACAATCAACCATCTCGTTCATTCCATTACCTAAAACATTCTATTCCTTTATCAATCATTTCCATCCAACCAAAAAAAACCCTAACTATTCAGAAAAAAAAGAAAAATGCTAAGCGAAGATAATTGGAATTGGAATTTGTAGTAGAGCCAATAAAATATGTGAATGAAGTCATATACTAACAAAATCAAGTGTATGTACACTTTGTATATCTTTCTCTATATTTACAAGTTGATGGCTAAAATATCATCAATTACTACTCAAACTATAAATTAATAAAAAAATCCGTGTCAAAAATTGTAAAATAATAAAATTCCCATTCTTTGAATCCGCTTCTGCTGGCATCATCTTACTTTTACCCAACTGTTTGAAACGGACCAATTGGGTTTCTGATCTGTCAGCAGCTGCCCTAATCTCGTCGCCGGCGGAATTGACGGTGACCCAGATTGAAATTCGTCTTGTTCTCCGAACCAACAGTTGAACTCCGGCGATGATTCCGGTGTCACTAAACACGATTGCTCCGATTCCCAATCAGGGAAATCAAATGGGTCTCTCGGAGAGATTTGATTCTCTGATTCTTCTTTGAATGATACAGTGTTAATGAAAGGATGATTTAGAAGCATCTCAGCCGTCCATCTTTTTCTTGGGTCTTTCAAGAAACATTTCCCGATGAAATCTTTCCCCTCTTCTGATAATTTCCCGGGAATCTCTGGAATTTCAGCGCCAACGCCGATTTTCATCAAAAGATTTCCGATATCGGAGCAATTCCAAACTGGGTTTCCGGTGATCATCTCCGTTACTAAACATCCAAGTGCCCATATATCAGAAGCTGATTCCTGCTCACCGCCGACAACCGTCTCCGGCGCCATATACATCGGCGAACCTCTAATTTCGTATTTTGAATTCAACTCACCGGAGCCGGTTGTCTTCTTCGCTAGCCCAAAATCGGCGATCTTCACAGCGTCTTTTCCACCATCACAAACTAACAGAACATTTTGAAGCTTGATGTCGCAGTGTACATACCCATTTTGATGAATAAAATGAAGCCCCTTTAGAATAGAATTCGTGTATCTCCGAACTTCATTTTCCGACAACCGTAAACCACCGGAATTCTTCACCTTCTCCGATAAAGCTCCACCGGAAGCATACTCCAACGCCACATTATACAACCTCTGACCGTTTTCAATTGTCATTGAATCGCCGTAACATCCAATGATCTCCGGGCAACCTTTAAGCTCTTCCAAGATCATACGCTCGTTGATTAACGAATCACAGTGAGACACTCCACAAGACTTCACCGCCATTAATGGCGGAAAATCTGAACTCTGGTTTATGGGTTTAGCTAAGCTAACAGCAGCAAAGCTTCCATGGCCGATCGTCTTACCTCTAACCCACTCCATGGGCGTACAATTGAGGTTTTTTACAGAATCTTCTTTGATCTTTGAATGGCTGGAATTTGTTTTTCCTTTTCTTACTCAAGAACAGAGCATGTGAAGTTGATGATTGTTGGGGAGATCTGATCATTCTTTATATATATAAGGCGTGTGGAGATCGGAGTGCAAGTTGGATTTGGAATTACGTAGGAAATTAAATTAAATTATATATTATATATATCATACTATTTAAAGAAAAATATATATAGAGAACACGTGATAATTAAGGATATTTATTCTTGGAAATTTGGCTGCGGAAATAGCGTACACCAGTTTGGAATGTGGTTGACATGGTTGGGGTAAAATAGGTATTTCACACGATTAACTAATCGTCAGTCTTCACGTCAACTTGCTAAAGACTATCGAGATCTTTTCAATGCAACAGAACTTCCGTGAGGTTTCTTTTATATTTTTTATTATTTAAAAATATATAAAACTTCCAATTTTTAGTTGTACAAAAACATTTTTGGGTCAAGATTGATGATTGAAGTTTATTTTCTACAGTCGTTTAAAATGTGCAAAATATTTAAAACTATTTAGATTCTGTTATCTAAAATAACACTTTATCATTTTTAATCATTCAACCTTTATATACATATTTAACATGCCAAAAAACGTTTTTAAAAGAACACGGTAAATATAAATAAGCAAGCTGAATCCAACTCGTTTTAAAAAGCATCAACTCGTTTATTATCTAAATAAATCATTGGTAATTTAACAAAGTGTTCATCATTCAATATATTTCTCCATGGTTAATTTTATTAAAAGTATTTTGTAATGAATTATAAGTATGTTAACAAACAAATATGACAATTCTTATCCATGTAAACATGACTTCTCACGTCTTAAAATGTCATAAAGTAATGGTATTAAATTCTAAAAAGTCATGCAAGTGATGGTATTAAATTCAAACATGAACCTAATATAAAAAGTTGAAAGATCACTAACATGAGATTTGGAAAGTAATTAATTGAAAGATCATGCCTGATGGCTTATTGTAATTATTAATTAAGTAATTAGTTAATGAAAACGACATGCATAACCCTAGTTCAAAGAATCAAAGGAAACGTTGATTCGATGGATAAAGTCATAAACCAACCCTCGAGAGGTGTATATCCCAACTTGCTTTACAAGTGACAATTTATGGCCGTTCGCACCCTACATGGTCACGGGATAAGTCTTAATTACAAATATCCCTTGCTTCTCATCAATGGTTGCTAGTTGCTGGTTTCTACAAAGATCTCAAGAATATATATTTTGGGTGATTGATCATGTCAAAATCGATGTTTCTATTGGTTGGTTTTGTTATATGATAATAAAAAGAAGAACAGTAGATATTTTATTATAAAATAAGCGCTAGCTAGCAAGTATCTATGCCACAAAATTACATGGTGAAAATAACAATAATAAGGTTTTGAATCCAACATAACTAATAAGAGATCAATTACGATGATCCTTAATCAACATCGTCTATATATGTTTCTGACGAATGCCATCCTTTGTTTTCTATTCAAGATGTTTCCGTTGGTATTATAGATCAATTGTCTATTGAATCCAAGGGGATCAACTCAAAGATATTGTATTTTAGAAAAAATAATAAAACAATCCGATAATTCATATTATGAACTAATTATTGAACAATCAAAATACTAACAATCAAAATATTAAACAAATGAATAATTAATATTGCCGATTAAATATACAATCGTTATAAACAACACTAACAAAGCCAACTATTTAATATTGAGAAATAAACGTCAAGCCATCGCAGATAATAAATCTAATAATTATTATTTAATTATCATGTTTTGTTCAAAAATCCCACGACCGATCATAAGCAATCAGATGTGATCATAAGAAATGTAGAAGGAGACTCTCACATTGCTAGACACTATTACATTGTGTGGATGAATTAAAATACAAGTCATAAAATATAAAACCAATCTAAAGATCGATGATTCTTGATTGTTGAAATTTGCTTGAAATTATTCATGTCTCTCGAGGGTTGTTGCGTTGCTCGATGATTGTAACTTTCAATGTAAAAGCCAAAATTTAGTGTGGATTATCATTCTTTCCATCAACTATGCAATAACCAATAAATTTGAAACTAATACTCGAAAACTAAAATAATTCATAGGCACTGAAAGAGGAGAAACATAGGAGATCTTGCTTTTTTGGGGTGTGGAATATGGCTCACAAAATATGTATTTGTAGTTGCAAAAACCTTAGGAGACTGCCAAAAAATGCAAGGTATGATGAAGGCAACCATATCATGACTCACGACATGTCATGCGGATTTGACTAAGTCAAACTACAATTGCAATGCCTTACTCTCCAAACAACGTGTTTTCTGGATGCTTCTAGGAAGCTTCCATTAGTTTATCCACAAAGTCAACCCTGGTCAAGTCGGTCCAACCGATCTGACTCGAAAATTGTTAAATATGAAATCTCTTCAACTCCCAGCTACCGATGTGGGGTGCAAAGGTGCAAAATAAGCCAAAATTGCACAAATTCATGAACCTCGTGTCTCTCATCCATAGTTTGACTTAGGTGCCTGTTTGGGCTTAACATGTCCCTTAATCTCTAGTAAATCTTTTGAAGGCTTAAAATATGAGACTATGGGAAAAATTATATCACTTGAGTGTCACGAAGATTAAACGTTGTTTAATATTGAGAAACAATAAGAGATCGATGCAACAATATCCAACGGATTTAAACCAAAAACCTCGTGACCTTTTTGGTTTACCCCATACATTACCTACAATTTTGTGTTCTCACTAAGCATGCATATGGTATATGTCACACCCCCAAACCAGAATGGCGGAAACATTCGGGGGTGGATGACGTCATATGTAGTATCACAATAATTGTATCATAGTAATTATAGTAAACACAACCATTACATTGAATACATATATGAAAAGATATTTACATCTGTTTGATTCTTGTCTTCATACATCAAAAAGTATAATCAAAAGAAAAAGACGTGACTCAATACGCTCCGTCTTCTCAAAACTCCAGGAGGTACATGTCTACTGATTTCTTGAGAATACAAGCAGATTTGAAAGAGTATCAGCATAAAGCTGGTGAGTTCATAAGTGATGTTTTTGTAATGAAAACCTGTTGATGACTCTGTAAAAATGTCTGCATGTTTCCAAGAAAATCCAATATTTTCTTTAGTAAAAGTGTGATAATATCAGTTCCATCTATAATCACTTAGTTCATGCTAGCCATGTATAAACCAATATCGAACAGACAGTTGATTATGTGGATCTGCCCTAAGCCCACAACCAAACAAGGAACAGGAAATGAGGCGGAAACCACACATTCCACAGTCTATCGAATATTCTCCATACGTAGCCTTGATGCCTAAACTAAGGGATTATAGAATTAACTATGAATGTTTGTTACTGTAACATGTTGTAGTATAATAAAACATTAGTTTGTATGTCTGCTTACCACCAATCGTAGTATGTGTGTATTCTTGTATAAAACCTTTGTATAGTATGTTCTGTTTGAAAACCCTGGCTACCACCAGTATGTATAATATGTTCTGTTTGGAAAACCCTGGCTACCACCAGTATGTATAGTATGTTCTGTATGAAAAACCCTGGCTACCACCAGTATGAATAGTAGTTTCATTACTTAAAATAAAACTAATGAAGAATGAAATCCCTTAAACAAATAGTTAGTTTATACTATTGTGAGTCGTATAACCATGCTTGATATGACCTAGTGACCTTTACGACGTTCTTCAAGTGTCGGTTAAATGACATTTGTCACCCCAGGCATGCCTGCCTAACTGTCGCTAGCAGTTCAGGTGTGGGATTGTCAGTCCCGAATAGATCTATTCACAAATCTCATGATCTCCCTCCAGGAGACTATGGTTATACTATGATAGGATTTAATCTGTATCCCGAAGGTTACAATTGAAGTGTTGTCTCACAATCCTGTATTAATTAGTTTACGTGTTGTTCTGTATTGTTCTCTTGTATTTGAATCCGTTGTATACTGTATAAGGTAATAATTATACTTAAATAATTATAAAATGTTGTACTCTTGTAGTAATGTATATCATAAACTAAATCAATCATAGTTTATATGTTTACCCATGTATGTAATCTGAATCGGTAAAAGCTGTGTATTGAATTCCCCAAACTATACCCATTATAGTTTGCTTGAAATGTTATGTACTTGGTTTGTAAATTGTTCTAAAAAACTATGCAATTAGGTTTCCAAAATAAAAGTGTCCCTTATGGTCAACATAATACAAAAGGGATAAAATATCTAAATATTTTATAAAACGTGGAAATCGTTTGACTGTATCAATTGCATAAGTTTTAAACTTGTTAAAATCATTTGTGTTTGGCTTGTATCCCCCCCCCCCCCCCGAAACCATTAAAAATCATAAAAGCGTAGGGGTATGAACTCACTGTTAGTTGCGTACAAGCGTCGAATCAACGGAATGAAATGAAGACCCTCGAGTTGTAGCGCGTGACACTTAACGGAATCCTAATAACAATTAAATACATATATGTATCTAAATTAGTGATTTCGTTAGATAAAGTGTTAGAAAAACACTTGTTTTTGGTTAAGGAATGTTACCGAGACTTGATTGAATCGAGGAAAGTGGGTTTTCAGTCTAATACACCACATAGGAAAGGTGTGTACGGCCGTGAATGGGGTTTACGGCCGTGAACAGGTGTACGGCCGTGAACAGGCTCTTGAAGGGTGTACGGCCTTTGAAGGGTTGAAGTGTGTACGGCCGTAGACTAGTGTACGGACAATGAAGATTTGCAGACTTGAAGGGTGTACGGTCATACACTCAAGAACAAGGATGCTGGATTCGACGAAAAACGTGTTCTAGATGTTCCGAAATCACTGCCAACAGGGATTTTTGGTGATTTTCGGAAGGATAAGAGTGTTTTAGGGGTGTACGGTCACGAGTTTAGAGAGAGAAGGAGAGT